GACTCGATGACGCAACAGTAATTTATTGAAGGTTTGCAATATTAATTAACACTCCCCGTGTTTTGAGGCTACCTATGTGTGTGTGTTTGTGAATGACTTCTTTTATTGGCTAAGTCCCCCAATGGGTCAGCGGTAAGTCTACGGACATACGAAGCTAAAATCCGGGGTTCGATTCTCCGTGATAGACACAGCAGATAATCCAATGTGGCTTTGCTTTAAAACAAACAAATTATTGGCTAAAAGTTTTCAATTGTTTTTTTTTTCCTGCATGTGATGAAAGAAACGTATTTTTCGTCTGCTAATATACTAAGGGAAGGAAGGGTGTTTATAACGGAGGAAAGTACTATCTTTTTTCCGGAAAACTTTCCTGGAATAAGATTTGATATCTCAGTAAGCACTGTGATAATACCAAAAATGTGCAGTTTTCTCCTATATTTTACACCAACCTACTGTTCAATATAACACACCCAGTTCCTTTCTTCTTCTTTTTTGTTTCTAACCCTATTTCACGTTAAATATTTTGTTCGATATTGACGCTAGAGATAACGAAGTACGTGTACCAGTACTTGATTAAAACTACAGTTCTATTCAATAAGTTGTTGAACGGATATGACCAAGTATAAAACCGCAAGTTTCAAGCTCGTGCTTTCTAAAACAAAATAAAAAAAAAATGGTTTAGCAGAGACGAATTACGGAATCTTTTTTTTGTTTCTTAGGGCATTAACCAGATGTCGTACTTTTGCTGTTCGAGTATTTTAGTCAAAGATTGTTTTACGTTTCAAAGACTGGAAACAAGCACTATTAATGGATTTTAGAGGTGGATATTAGGAAATTCAAAACATCATATAAAGTTATAAACATCTGTCTAAGAACTTGGAGTGAAAGCACAGAAAAATATATAATAATATGACAACCACATTACATATGCCGCATCCAATGTCGACGAGGCTTTTCGGCCAATACCAGGGCTCATCAGACCGTCTGGGATACAACAGACATATTAGTGGTCTAGTTCTCTTTCATACTTTCATTTTCATGAACAACAGCTTTTGTGGTGAAGTGTAATTATTATCAATTTATCTAAACCATTTACATATCCAAATTAGGGTCATGCTTAGTTGTAACGTTTAACTTTAACGCTGCTACAGTGCAGTACCTGTGTCTGTTTTCAAAATATATGTTCGAACAAACTACAAGTTATTGGGTGATGAAATATTGTTTAAAGCAAGATCTAAACAATAATTAAAACTTGTATTTTAAAGGTCAAAACAAAAAGGCTTCATAAACGGGAAGGTTTATTTATAGTAATGTTGACATAGCGCAATGTTAGGTTACTGCACTGGTTGTACGAGGCCCTAACAAACCCAAATAATGTATATTTAGTATACTCACGTAACTGAGATACAACAGAAACGTTGTTTGAGGTAATATGCTTTCTTTAGTTTAGTACATTAACTAACGTTTATTTTGGTTCTCGTGTACTTTAAAGTTGTTCAGCCAATACTTAGATTGTTGAAAAGCGCGAAAATAAACCTCGTCGCGTGGTGCGCAAAGAAAATCGTAGGTAAATAACCCGATTTACTGGTATTTACAGCGCCTTCTTCGAGTCTACCACGCTGTTATCGCGCGAGTAAATTACGAGGATGACGTCATGTTTCATAGCTTACGGGTCAATACTGACTAGCATGAGGACAAACGTAAAGACTTTTTTAAAATTTACACTGACCAGTTAGGGCGGTCACAGACTTTCTTTTTTCCCGAATAACAAGTTATATATTTTCCACATAAATTTGTTCGTCTTTTCTCCCATAATATTTAATGACTATCAAGAGTACAAGTTTGCTATTAATAAAAACTTAAAAAAAAAAGGAATATCTTTCTTTCTTTCTTTTATAAATATTATTAGGTGTTTAACTCAGACAAGACAAATTTCTAACGTAGGATAAGAGTGAAGGAATTCCTTGCAACTAATACAAAGAATTATGGGACACATTTGACTTGTATGAAGTGATATCACGTGAGGCCTAACATTGGTTTACCTCTTTGTTATACGTGTCAAAAACGAAAACACCTCTTATAATGTTAAAAGTATTTAATTACGTGTTGTTAAAAATGGATGAAAGTTTTACAGAAGGGTGTATTTTTAAACCCCCACCTTTCAACATAACAAAGAGTTAAGTGTTTTAATAATTAAATTTGCTCAATTGTTTTTGAAGGTACAGTTTGCAGGTAACAAATGTGAAAGCACTATTTACCGAGTTTCTTAAATTGAGCTTTTAACTTTCTGTTGTTGACTGACTGACTGAAAAGTGCAGTAATACGGAGTATAAATACAGGGTGACACACGTGATATTTCAAAAACCAATATTTTTGTTTTAGTAACTGTTTCATTGATTGGGATGTCAAACTCTGCAGGTGCGTGTGTGTGTGAAAGTGATCCTGTTGTGACACTGTGTCATGAGTGAAAGTGATTCTGTTGTGACACTGCGTCACGAGTGAAAGTGATTCTGTTGTGACACTGCGTCATGAGTGAAAGTGATCCTGTTGTGACACTGTGTCATGAGTGAAAGTGTTCCTGTCGTGACACTGTGTCATGAGTGAAAGTGATCATGTAGTGACACTGTCATGAGTATGGGTAATTCTGTTGTGATACTGTGTCTGTGTCGAAAGTACAAGTGATCCTGTAGTGACACTGTGTCTGTGTCAAGAATACAAGTGATCCTTTAGTGACACTGTCAGGAGTTTAAGTAATTCTGTTGTGACACTGTGTCTGTGTCAAGAATACAAGTGATCCTGTAGTGACACTGCCATGAGTGTAAGTGTTTCTGTCGTGACACTGTGTCATGAGTGAAAATGATTCTGTTGTGACACTGTGTCATGAGCGGAAGTGATTCTGTTGTGACACTGTGTCAGGAGTGAAAGTGATCATGTAGTGACACTGTCATGAGTTTAAGTAATTCTGTAGTGACACTGTCATGAGTATAAGTGATCTTGTAGTGACACTGTCATGAGTATAAGTGATCTTGTAGTGACAGTGTGTCTGTGTCGAGAGTACAACTGATCCTGTAGTGACACTGTCATGAATGTAAGTGATCCTGTAGTGACACTGTTATGAGTACAAGTGATCCTGTAGTGACACTGTCATGAATGTAAGTGATCCTGTAGTGACACTGTCATGAGTGTAAGTGTTTCTGTCGTGACACTGTGTCATGAGTGAAAATGATTCTGTTGTGACACTGTGTCATGAGCGGAAGTGATTCTGTTGTAACACTGTGTCATGAGTGAAAGTGATCATGTAGTGACACTGTCATGAGTATAAGTGATCTTGTAGTGACAGTGTGTCTGTGTCATGAGTGAAAGTGATCCTGTAGTGACACTGTCATGAATGTAAGTGATCCTGTAGTGACACTGTTATGAGTATAAGTGTTCCTGTCGTGACACTGTGTCATTATATCAATGGTACACATTCCGAACATTTGAAAGGATGCAACTTAAAATGTGTGGGTGGCGCGCGTCACCTTGTATAAGGGTTTTAAAAATGCATATGGTGAGTTTTTGATAACTTGTATATTGTCGTCCCTCCATCACAGTGAGTTATAAGGCCAAAAATCTCCCTTAAGGCTACTGTAACATTACACACTTGACCTGTTACATGACTTGAATGAAAAATTATAATTACAGAAAGTTTAACTAGCACGAAAAAGACCACTTTTTCCCATGACGTCATCGATTTAAATGTTAAGAGGCAGAAAATACCTGACGCTTCTGAACAAATGGGTCAGTGAAATACATTAAACATGCACAGAGTATTGAGGTTTGTGAAGAATTTTACCCAATTCTGCTACTTATGCTTTTGAATGTAATAATTTATTGAGATAATTATGGATCGCACTTGTAACCGTTGTTCAAGACGTTGTGTAGCTCTGTGACCGTTGTGCAAGCCCTTGTGTAGCTCTGTAACCGTTGTGCAAGACATTTTGTAGTTTTGTAACCGTTGTGCAAGCCCTTGTGTAGCTTTGTAACGGTTCCGCAAACCCTTGTGTAGCTTTGTGACTGTTGTGCAAACCCTTGTGTAGCTTTGTGACCCGTTGTGCAAGCCCTTGTGTAGCTTTGTAACCGTTGTGCAATCCCTTGTGTAGCTTTGTAACCGTTGTGCAAGCCCTTGTGTAGCTTTATAACCGTTGTTCAAGACGTTATGTAGCTCTGTAACCGTTGTGCAAGACATTGTGTAGCTTCGCGCGAAATTCAAACCAATCTTGAGGGGCATCGTTAATGACTTCAGCTGTTTAGGAAGCGTTTGGATGACGTTTCGAGCTGCTAGCGCCGAAGAAACACCGCCAAAAACTTCCTATACAGATGCACTCCATTAACAGCACCTTTGAAGTATATTCTCATCTGTCTAATCCTTCTCTCAAGCAGCCCCCCCCCCCCAGTGGCACAGCGGTATGTCTGCGGACTTATAACGCTAGAATCCGGGTTTCGATACCCGTGATGGGCAGAGCACAGATAGCCCATTGTGTAGCTTTGTGCTTAATTACAAACAAACAAACAAACTCTCAAGCAATAATGAGTTAAAGACTTAGTTGCCATCACGAAAAATTCAATGGCGTTTTTTAATTTCTCAAGTTGTAACTGTGTTTCACATTAGAAAACAGTTTGCGTTCATTGTATTCCAAATATCAACCGAGCTGACAAAGGAAATGCTCGAAACTACTTTTCTCGGCAGGGCGTGGTATGTAGGATGTTAGTATACTACTACGTACGTTTGTATCAGGTTAGTATAGCCTACATACTGTTACGACAGCGGAAGTCACGTGACTCTGGTAACACGTCATGAGATTCTCGAAAGATCTTGACTTTTCCTGGCAACTCTGGTCTGTTCTAGGCGCCCTTCTTTTTTTTAGCTACACTGAAGAG